GAAAACGATGTTATCCTTAGATGTCGCGTCTCTGTTCACCAACATTCCCCTCACAGAAACCATAGAATATTTGTGTGACGAGATTGTTAAACAGGACTTTCCAATCGGCATGCCGATCGGAGACCTAAAGGAATTACTCTTCCACTGCACGTTAAACGTGCAATTCAGGTTTAATGGCCAATTCTACCGCCAAATCGATGGCGTAGCCATGGGCTCACCAGTTGGACCGTTGTTAGCTGATGTCTTCATGGACAAGTTGGAGAGCAATACACTTTCCCCTATTATAAAGGGCCTTCCTTCCTATGCTAGATATGTGGATGATATATTTATAATAGCAGATTGAAGTACTGAGTTGGACGCTTTCTAAGATAAAGTGAATCAGGTGCACTCAGCGTTAACGTTTTCTTTCAAAAAAGAGGACGGACAGTGCCTCTCCTTTTCTGGACGTCCGTCTTAGTAGATGGTCGGATGGAGCAATAAGTAGGGGTTATTTCGCAGGTACACCTGGACAGGGTAATACACTAATGTATACAGTTTTTTTTGCCACTAAGGCAGAAAAGAGGCCTAGTCCACAGCCTCACGAACCGAGCATGGAGTATATGTTCTTCAGAGACACTGGAGAAAGAACTAGTGCTCATCAAAAACACCCTACAAGAAAATGGATTTCCAGAGAAATTCATCAATAAGTTTATGGAAGAACGTCCACCAAAATCGGAAGTGCCGACGGCTGAGAGGAAAACCTTATTTCTTGCGTTGACTTTTCAAGGGGATCCAGCAAGCGAACTTGTACATCTTCGCTTGAATACTGCAATCGCGCGTACATATCCAACAGCTAAATTAAGATTAGTATTTTCAAGCACTCCACTTCTTCGCCTTGAAGGCAAGGATAGAATCCAATTACAGACCTCTTCAATGTGGACCTATACCTTTACATGCTCCTGTGGGACAGGTTATGTTGGTCGAACGACTAGGCAGCTATCCAAGCACATGCGAGAACACCATCCTGCTTGGCTAAACCGAGGCGAGGTAAAGTCAATATCAAGCACGATTGTGGCTCACCTGATTGACAGTTGTCACCGGGGTGAGCTAAACCAGGCGTTTCGAGTCTTGTATAAAGTACTGGCGAAACATTATTACCAATAGAGGAGAATATATGAGTTCCAGGCAGCAGTTCAGAAGAAGAAGATGCGATCACTA